CCCTAGAGAAAGATGCTCGCAGAACCCAGCAGCCCAATGAAACACTGGAAATGAGGTTTTCTTCCTATTCTGGGTCACAGCACCTGTTACCGATGAAGTTCAGAGCTGCTGATTTTATAAAAAACATTTTATATATGTGACTTAAGTATATTTTACTTGTGTTTTCAGCTTAAACCAGCAGAGACTGCAGCCAGCGGATTCTCTGGCTGACCTTCGGTCCAGGCTAGTGAAGGAGTAGGCTGCTTTCCCAGCAGGACCATGAGCAAGGAAAGTGTGAGATCTGGTCCTCCTCCCGTGACTGTTTGCTCTCAGACCCACCAGACAGTCGTGGCAGATGCAACCGCTCGCTGTGGCAATGGCTTCAACTGGCCCAAGGAGAGCTTCAGCCTTCAGGCAGGAGTGAGGTATGAGCACAAACCACACCTCCCCCAGGAGAGGACAGAAGAGCCCGCTTTGTCTCTCTAGCAAGACCCTTCACATACTGGCTGTACCCAGAGACCCCCACTCTTGCATCCAGCTGACCCTTTCCGCAGAGTGAAGGGAGCAGAGGACCCCCACCAAGAAAAAAAACTTCTCCTTCTCAGCACTGTCTGGTCCTACATCGGACCCCGGGCTACGGGACCGGGGCTTTCCCCACATTTCTGCGGGGACCTGAACCCAGGGGACGTCACCCCCCGCCACGCGTCAGGGAAGGGGAGCAGAGCAGCAGGGGAGCTGCAATACATTACTTGGCATATGGCGCATGCAGCATAGAATAGACCTGGCTTTGATGCGGAAATCCCTTTCTCCATCCTGTAGTCCCTGATTTACGAGGTTAACGACTTCGTCTGGAGTGAGGTCTCCCCTGCAGGGAAGAAAAGCCGTCAGCGAGGGGCCGGACACCCACCAGGGAAGCAGGCAGGAGCCACAGGTCCAGCCCAGCATCCCCACGGGACACCCCATGCAAACCCAGGCTGTCCAGGGTCCCACTCGCCTTGACATCCAGAGGAGCCCGAAAAGACCGCCCAGAGCCGAAGAGCACTTTTTACACCCATGCCATGCACAGATTTACAAGATGTCGGGCACAAAGGCATGCAAAGATGATAGTAAGATTTCAAAAAGCCTCGGGGAACTGGATGCCAATCCTGCCTGAGCAGAGGAACCTGCTCCTTGCCAGAGCATCTCATTAGGGCACGCAACTGCCTGCAGCCGGGCAGGGACGAGCACGGGGGCTCAACGCCCATCACAGCACATTTTGTAAGGGGCCACAGAGCTCAGCACTGATTTAATCAGAGGCACACATCATAGTGGGGATGACGGGTAAAGAAGGGATCGGATCGCTAGCCCCCTCCAACACTGCCCACCGTCTCTGCCAGCTCAAATTCACATTTTGCGGGCAGGCAATCCACATCTGAATGCTGCTTTCCCTTGCACAGAGAGTGGCTTGAGCCAGAAGTTTAGGCACAGCTGCTCTGCACGTGCAGAATTAGGTGCCCAAAGCAAGGGATGTTAAAACACAGCAGCACGCAGCGATATCGTAAGAGGAAAAATCCTATCGATGGGGAAGAGAGGTGGAAGAGTGCCGGCGCTTGCTGTGCTGGAGGAGAGGGGAGGTTTGGTTACACCAGACTTTGAACACACGCTGGCTTCTCCATGCCTGACCGGCCACCCACCAGCTCCCCGGCACGGCGGATCACTCACTCGGTTTGGCCCCAGGGGATGGGATCCACGCGGCAGTTGGCCAGGAGGTGAGGGCTGTACCGGACCTCCACGTAGATGACACCTTCTTTTGCTTTCATTTCCACGAGCTCGTAGGCGATCCTCCGCACCGCCTCACGGTCACCCCTGCGGGGACGGCAGTGGGACCCGTCACCGGGACTCGTCACCCTCGGGGCACACTGGGGACGGGCGAGGTGACCTCCAAGGCTGAGCAACGTTAGCCAAGGGGTCCTGCCAAGGGTTGAGGGGGAAGAATCAAAAAGCGGGGTACTTACGCAATGGCAGGCATGTAGTGATTAAACTTCTCTAGAAATTGGGTAAGTGTCAGTGGTGTTTTGTAGCTGACATGCTTCAGGAGGTCATCAACAGTGCTGCCGGGGAGAGGAACTCCTCTTTTCCTGGAAATAAAACCACGCGTTACTGATGGGGAAGGCTATTGCATTTTTAAACAGTCCATTCCGTACAGCAATTGCGTCCCGAGCTGGCAGCATTAACCTCTAGTTCTTCACAGAAAAGAAACGGCACACATTGTCCTTCCAAAATCTCCTCGCAGATGCAGCCCTGAATCTCAGCGGGGAGGGAGGCAATCCAAAATACAGGCAAAGCACAAACAAATCGAAATACAAGCCCAGACTGACCCGGCAGGAACACAGCCAGAGCACATTTTAAGCTTAAGAAGGAGTTAATCTAAAGGGGCTCTGGGTTATTCCTTAGCACCTCCTAGTCCTAGCAGCAGAATTGCCAAAATTCTTTAGAAACGTTAATTTCCACTTATGCAGGCTCAAAGGCTTGAAAAATCGCGGAGATGCTCCCAGGCACAGAATCACGCAGGCAAAAGTGTCGTGGCTCATGGGTTTAATGCCAGCAGCTCCTGCAAGCGAGCCGGTTCCCAAGCCAAATATCGTGGTGACATCTTCTCTGATGGGGACACCTCTCACGCAGGAGCAAACAGCAGTCCCAAAATCGGCTCTCACCAAAGGGATGGAGGTGGTAAAGCCCACTGAAACTCTTCCAAGGGGGAAGAAGCTGTTTGTCCCTGGAGCACCTGAGTCCCGGGTGGGTGGAGGTGTCCCCGGTGGGGTGACAGCAGGGCTCGAGGGGGCTGCCAGCCAAGGATGCTGCACGCTTCCCACCCCCGCTCCACAGGCTGTCACTCTGCCCATGAATGCCAACCTAAATTAGCAATAATAACTAGACATTTGTTTTTAATCCTCTTTCCTGCCACAATGAATTACAGCCGATTGATAGATCTCTCTGCTAACGGAGACAAAACACCACAGACAGCTTTAGCGTCCCGATGCCAGCAGCTGTCCCGATGAGCAATCCGCAGGGAAGCAGCCCAAAGGACCCCGCTCCTGGGCCCAGCACACATTGCTCATTCCCTGCTCAGCCTTCACATGCAATCTGCACCGATGCTGGCGCTCGGCAGGGGACGTTCACTACTGCCAAGGCATCAGTTTTCCTCCCCGCCTTGCCCTTTCCATGGCACTGACACATCGGTCTCTGCTCCAAGAACCAGCCCACGTCTTCCTCCACCTGCCCAGGGAAAGTTTCCTACACCAAAATCACTTCCCTCACCTCTTTCGTGTGCTTCCCAAAGGATTGCCTCCACCCAGCCGGCAGCGACAGCGCTTTGGGATGATGATCCATAGCGCAGAGACGCTGGAGCCAGGTCTCCGACTGAGGGGGTCTGGTGGATCTTGCCACCGTGGCTTTGGGAGCTGCTGCTGCCCCATCCAACCCGCCTGGCAGCTGGGAGCCTTCCTGCAGCAAAGCTGCTTGTGCCCGCCGACACCACGGCGTCCTGCCCAGAGCTACCTCCAGCCACGGGCAGCACCACGCACACCATCCCACCGCGGAGAGGGCACCTCTCCTGGGGACATCCAGTCCCACGAGGGGTCTGCCACGGCTCTAAACCCTTTGGCTGGGCAGGGCGGGGGTGCAAAGCCTGACCCAGACCTTGCAGAATTGGAGCCGAAGCTTCTAAAAACAGCAGAGTTCAGCCACTGCCCAAGGGGGCTTGTGCATCCCAGCAGCTTCGGGTTATTTGTATGTGGTCAGCCACCACCTGGCAAATTTATTTCCAGCTCTTTACCTTTAAAAATAGACCACAAGCAGCTTTCTGTGTCCAGGGTGAGGTTATTAAGGCAGTCCCCTACAGTCTCCTACGCTGCCCCGTTGCCTTTATGTTTGTGTGAGCTTTAGAACCCATGAATAGCACAGCCTCGCTCCACCGAGGGCTGGCAGCTCCGGGGGATGCCAGGGCTATTTAAAAATAAGAGGGAACTCGGCACACGCTCGGGCAATGAAGGTTTCTGCCCTAAGCAAGAGAGAGGCACAGATTCTCAGATGGCTTCAGGGCTCCTACAACCCTCCTGGGGCACTACACCGGCATTTGTCCTTTGCTGGCAGCAGGGACCCCGCAGAGCCCCAGGGAGTCAGCACCGACTCTTCTGTCCATCGGGACTTGTATTCCAGCCCTGCAGCCCACCAGCGGCACCGGCAGAGCCAGCAGGAACCCCGACTCAGCTCGCCGCACCAATGTCCTGCAACAAATGAGATGGGCATCTCTGATCCACCTTCTTTACTCTGACTGCACTGCAAAATGTGTGGCTGCTCCCTGCAGAAAAAGCTGCTTTAGAGAAAGTATTTCCCCCTAGGATCGCATTGCCTTGGAGTCCGCTGGGCTCACAGGATGCCAGAACCACTTCCCATCCTCCTCAGAACTGATTTCCTCCCCAAAGTACCAGAGTTGTGCCCAAGAGCCGTTTCCTGAAATCTTTAAGCTTAACACTTTCTCGATCTGAGGGAATCTGCTAGTCTCCCCTAGCTTTTTGCATAGTGACAACTGGAAGAAGTCTTAAGCTTATTTTGCTTACAACCGTGGAGCCAGGTCCTCGCACCCAGTTAATCATTCACCCGCACAAGCTGAAGCAAGAAGATGCGCGTGGGCTCTGTCAAGGAAACAACCTCTCTAAGTCACTGCCAAGCGCTTTCCCAGGGCACCCTCACACGAGCGCGACTCCTTGACTGCTAGCACCAGGCAGACAGTCTGGGGCTCAAAGGCAGGCAGCAGCAGGGCAGGGAGGAGCACCCAAGCTGGTTTTTCCTCCCAAGACTGTGGTACGGCACCACCACCGAGAAGACGCTCCCAGCCTGCTTTCATTTAACTTGCTTTTGCAATTAGGAACGTGGAAGAAGAAACAAGAATACGCTGGCTCTGCCGTTTCCCAAGTACACTTCAAAGGCAGACAGCTCTGTTTATGAGACACCTTCTGTACTTTTCTCACAGCGGCTCCTCTTAGCTCACGGGACCGATGACCACCTCGCTGACGCTCCTGCCACCAGTGCAGCCCTGCTGCAACATCGCCTTTTGGGATGTGCTCAATAACCTGATATTATGCAGCCAGAGGACCCGTCTGTGCAGAGATGAGACCAGCACCAGCCAGGTTTGCTGCCTGCCCAGCAAGGGAGAGAGCTTTCCCAGCCTGCCAGCACAAGCTCTCCTGTCGGAGAATTGGATGAGCAGAAGGCATGGGAGCAGGGACTGATGCTTTTGAATTGCAGCTCCCAGAGCTTTCTCCCCCCCGCGACTTACCTGCCAAAGTGCAAGATTGTTTCTGGTCTAATGGCTCCATCCAGGTGGACATGAAGTTCGACCTGCAATAAGATAAAGAGAAATTGGTGAGGTACTCTTAGAGCTCCAGCAGAAGTTTAGAGACAAGCAGCTGGTGCTAACACAGGTATAAATGCAGCCAATACAGGGACACAGTCATGACAAGAAAGCACAAAAATGTTTTTAAAACACCATCATTATAAAGTTGATTTTTCAATATTTAAATATTGTCTAAATATTTTCTTATTGCTGCAGCTCACACATTTAATGGATCTTTAGAAATTTATTCTGTTTCCAGTAATCTTCAGGAACTGCCCTATCCTTACTTAGCTTGCATGGTTTGGTGTTTGGGAAGAGTGAAAAAACCAAACCCCAAACACCTTCGCTTTCCAGCTTGCTCCTTCTTAAATTCACAGACACCCAAGCATTGACTAATTTGCTAAGAGTCATTAAACAAAAACTGACTTCACCTCCAAGAATCAGCTCCTGCTATATTGTTAATTACTTGGTATTATCAGAGCATAGAGGCTTTCTAATCCTACACGTGAAGTCAGTCCCATGGTACAAGGTGCTGTAAGAAATAAAAAGAACAAGAGTTGTCCTGTAGAGCTAACAAGCTGGTTTCAAAATAAAACACTTAAATTTTGACTCATTAAAAATGGGTCAATAACTCAGATCTCTTCACTCTGAAACCCTGTTTCCCGATTATTGCTGAAACAATGGATTTTGGAGAAAGAGCCCCAGAAAAGCAAAAGCAAGTTTTTTCCATTAGGCAGCTGGGGCTTTTGGAGGAACATGACAAATGTAATTTGGAAGCTGAACTGGGAAGGAAAATATTAGCTGTAAAACGTTTCAGCTTGATCTTCATATTTTCAGAACTGTTTTCTTTTAAGCAATGGAATAGCCTACAAAATACACACTTAATTTAATTTATTTTTTAATGAAACTGTAGAGCAGCAACTTAATACACAAAGTTCTTGTTAGTTATAACATTGTGCAAATTTTCCTGTGTAGATGATTGCTGCAGGATGTAGAGGGTAAGAATTGGGTAGGATTCAGAAGAGGACTGGACATTTGCATGGATAACTAAACCGCCCAGGGCTACTAATTAAAACCCACAAACCCTCTGGCATCAGGGTATGTATCAAACAATAACTACGAGGAGCTGGAAGAAAAATGAGTTAGCGGTCCCTGCAAGCGGGGCAATGCACAATTGTCCACCTCAAGATCCTTTCGCTCTCCTCTGAAGCATCCACGAGCAGCTGACGTGAGCTCCACGCCGCTGGCCCAGCTCCCGGTGCAGGGCTGGCAATGCCCACCTCTGGGACAAGCACTCATGCCCACTGATGCCCTTGCTCCCCACCTCCTCCCACAGCCCTAGATGCCTGCCGTGCAGGTAGGGTCACCCATCTTCTGACTCACGGTCAGCGTTTTCATTGACCACTTCTGCTGCAAAAGGCCATCATTGCTGAGGTGGGACAGGGTTCGGGTAGGATGGCCATGAAGCTACCACTGAAACGTGTGCTGGTGGGATGCAAAATGCAGGGGCCAGGCTCAGGGCAGCTTGAGCTACTGACCCTGCACCATTGCAATCAGCTGGCCCAGGGGTCGTGAATATCCCCACAGACGCCACTGCTAGCAGGTTGTAAAAAGATATCCCTGTCACCTCTTCTACCCTTAAGACACGATCTGAATCTACAGGGATGAAGATTTTAATAGGGCAAAACCTGATCTTTCCCCCCACCTCGAGTTACGCAATCCTGCTTATGAGGACTAAATGTCATGAGAAGCAGCAGATAAAATAACAGACTACGGACATGATCTGCATTGCCAGATGTGGACGCCTGGCACGTTTTCCACTCTTGAGCTCCAATTCCTATTTCAAAACCACGCAAGCTCCACTCCTTGAGGTTTTCAACAGCCCTTGTGACCTTCCGATGGAGTTACAGGCTTGAGACTCACTCACGCTGGATATAAAAACCAAGCAACCCGAACCTACTGAGGTCTTCTCACTCCAAACACTTCTCAAGCATTTCCTGCAAGAACATCCCAACATGATATTTCCATCAAAGAGAAAGCAAATTCAGCAGTGTCCTTCATTCATGCAAGCCACCTCCTTCTGCCGCTACTGTAGGCGAGATGCTTGTAAAGCAGCAAGGTTCCTCTCCAACACCAGCAACAGGCTCTTCCTCCCCTGCCACGCATTTCTTTGGGTCTGGAGGGACCTAAACTAAGTGCTAAGAAACTCTTGTGCAATGCTGTTCAACCCAAAAAGTTGTGGAGTTGCTCAAGATCAGTGCTTGGGGGCAGTGTTTTCTGCAGCTGAAAACTAATCCGTGCTATTTAGATTACCAAGGGACATTCAAGTGAAGAAGTAAAGGTGCGCCTACAAGGGTCTCCACCAAGAGCCGGCCCTAGATGAGGATGCAATCAGCAGAGGCACAACCGAGCAGCTCAGCTCCCCCAGGCACCTCGCTCACGAACCCTGCAGGCTCCCAGGTCCGTGGGAGGCTGCTCACTGCAGGTTACACTTCAGCTCTCTTCCTCCGTGTTTGTTTTGGGTAAACAAAGCACAAGACTTTTCCAGATACGAGTGGGTGACATGACCTTGCTTTAAGTCAAGGAAAGTACCCAGATAAAGATGAAAGAGTTTTCTCTGAACTGTGACTCCAGGAGACGATGCCTGAGCAAGCAGAAATAAGCTGAACGCAGGAGCCCAGCGCTTCTTCCAGGGCTCTGCTCCTCGGCAGACAGAGGTCCACGCACACGAGGTCTCCCACTCCAAGCCCTCCGGTTTATTTGCAGAGGAAGCCTGTGCACACAGACTAAATAGGGATCTCGACACTTGGTCCAGGATCCCAACAGCACCACGGGCTGCACCAGCACGGGAGCCTTCAGCCGTGCCAGGACCAGTGATGCCTTCCTTTCTCACAGCAAACCTGGATGTGGTAATGTTTGTTCTGATGAAGGACGAGAAAGCAGCAGATGCTTTCCTGGGGCAGGAGCACTGCTCTTTCCCCAGCTGCAGCGATGACCCTCAGGACCACCTCTGGAGGGGGCTCAGCACGGTGTAGCCACCCTTCAGCCCCTCTTCTGCACCTCCACAGAGCTGCAGCTGAGAGCAAGTTCACTGACCGCCGGCCAGTGCATCAAAAAACCATAGTGCAATTCAATAAAATCTCCGAGTTTTACTAAAGAGGTGTCGAAAGCCAGAGGGATGAGTTCAAAAGACGTAACTGGCCATAAATTGTGCGTCCTCAGCTCAGAGAACCCCCAGCAAGGCTGTCAGAGCAAACTGAGCGGTTTCCATTTTTATGCAAAAAAGTTTTAGCTCAGCCACAGCACGTGACTCGTTAGGGCAGATATCAGCAAGTTGGTTCAGATTTTAAAAAAGGAGTTTTAAGGGCTCTGGCTTGACTTTCCTCTTCTGAAAATATTGTAATGTTTTCTTTGAAAAGCTTCAAAAATAAATTCAAACACAAAATGAGGTACTGCAAACAAGTATGTTCCGTTCAAAGATCAAGTCTGATTATTTTCCATTTAGTGAAATTAAGAGGAAGAAGTTAGCCAAACATTCAAAGTATTTTCAGCTACAGTCAACCCAACAAAATTTCTCTATTACTCTACGGTTTGCTCAGTGGACCATGGCAGAGCAGTTAACTGCTCAGTTCGCCTATTATGTGGCACAAAAAGTACCATCCAAGCTAAGACACTTGAAGGAATTTCTGTATTAGGTGGTTTTAGGGTCTTTTTTTAAATATATACAATGAACAAAGTCAGCCCTAACACCATGGTAAAAGTAACACCAACCTCACCTTTTATTTTGATGGTTTCCAGCAGATGTTAATAGATAATCCAGGCAGCCGCTAAAGGTCCATCATTTAAAAACCCTTAGCAGTGACTTTGCCCAGGATTATTAATCAGCATATTAAAAGGTGATAATTTAAAGTTCACTCTATTGATCTCAATAACTGTAAAACAGAGTAATTACAGCTGTCATTTGTCAATTGTTAGATACACATGGCAGGAAAATGTTAATAGAGAGCAAAATTCAGCAAGAGATAAGACAAATGCCAATCACTGCAAAAAGAATGAACTGTGTTCCCCAAATCCCGGTTTTACGAAAGCACGCTGTCAGGAGCAAAGTTATCCTCACCCTAAACTCACCACAAATGCTCATTTAGAAGCAAGAGGTGAGAGTGCATCAAGAGGGATGTGAAGTGGAAGAGGCACAGTGTTATCCCCAAACCTGATGACACCCATAAATGCGTTTTGGAGACGAATCTGTCATACGCTTTAAGGTTTGAGCCTTTAAAAGAGAAATGTGGGAGACTACAAGACCCACCCACTGCTCCATTGCAAGAAATATTCCTGCTTTCTAGAGAAGCATTCCCATGATACATGGCTTTGGTGACTGAGGAGGAGGAGGATGCTCCCATGCTGAGCAGCCGTCAGTACCATTCCTCCCCGCCCCAACCACTCAGCCTCCACCGACCTCGGCACGAGGCTCCCGGTGCCATTAATAGGTGATGGTGGCCCTGCGTCACCCTCCTGCAGGGACAGCTCCCACGGGGCGGCAGGGCCACGTCCCTCCCTGAGCAGTCACAGACCTCGCACCCGCATGTGGCTGGAATGAGGCAACGCTTTGGAGCAATAAAGAGCGTCCTTGCACTTCAAGCAGCACCCAGCCAGCCTCTTACTGCCATCACGTTTGATGAGTGGAGCCGGGAAGGTTACCTGAGAGCGTGCCTGCAGAGCATTACTGAAGGTATGAGTAGGCGCATCACTGCGTAAGGTACGGCTGAGCTCAGTGCAACCTCAGCGGCACCAGGATTTGACCCGTGCCAAGCCGGGCAGGGGTCAGGTTGTGCGTGAGAAGTGGATGAGATGATGAAAATGTCATCCTCAGCAAGCACACCCTCGTGCACTCCTCACAATAAGGATCAGCTATTTTTATTTTTAAAATTTTTTTATTTTTTTATTTTTTAAGTTTTGCACTCAAGGCAAATACCTGTGCTACCGGCTTGGCACAGATGGGCAGGTC